CTTGATTTTGCTCTCTGTTATTGGTATATAGGCATGCTTGTGATTTCTGCACATTGATTTTGTATTCTGAGACTTTGCTGAAGGTGCTTATCAGTTTCAGAATATTTTGGGCTGAAATGATGGTGTCTTCTGGATATACAGTCATGTCATCTGCAAGTAGAGACAGTTTGACTTCCTCCTTTCCTAATTGAATACCCTTGATTTCTTTTTCTTGCCTGATTGCTCTGGCTAGAATTTCCAATACTATGTTGAATAGGAGTGGTGAGAGGGGGCATCCTTGTCTAGTGCCTGATTTCAAAGGGAATTCTTCCAGCTTTTGCCCGTTCAGTATGATATTGCCTGTAGATTTGTCATATATAGCTTTTACCATTTTAGCATGAAGAGCTGTTGAATTTTATTGGAGGCCTTCTCTGCATCTATCGAGATAACCCTGTGGTTTTTGTCTTTGGTTCCATTTATGTGATGGATTACATTTATGGATTTGCGTGTGTTGAACCAGCCTTGCATTCCTGGGATGAAGCCTCCTTGGTCGTGATGGATAAGCTTCTTGATGTGCTGTTGCAATCTGTTTGCCAGTATTTTATTGAAGATTTTTGCATCAATGTTCATCATGGATATTGGCATGAAGTTTTCTTTTTTAGTGGAGTCTCTGCATGGTTTTGGTATCAAGATGATGTTGCTTTCATAAAATGAGTTAGTATTGTTTGATACAGTTTGTATTGTATTGTATCCTTTTGTATTGTTTGATACAGTTTCAGAAGGAATGGAACCAGCTCCTCTTTGTACATCTGCTAGAATTCGGCTGTGAACCCGTCTGGGCCTGGACTTTTTTTGGTTGGTAGGCTATTGATTGCCGCTTCTATTTTAGCCCTTGTTATTGGTCTATTCAGGGTTTCAACTTCCTCCTGGTTTAGTCTTGGTAGAGTAAAAGTGTCTAGGAATTTATCCATTTCTTTCTGGTTTACTGGTATGTGAGTAGAGTTGTTTGTAGTAATCTCTGAGGGTAGTTTGTATTTCTGTGGGATCAGTGGTGATATCCCCTTTATCATTTTTTATTGTATCTATTTGATTCTTCTCGCTTTTCTTTTTTATTAATCTGGCTAGTGGTCTGTCTGTTTTGTTGATCTTTTCAAAAAACCAGCTCCTGGATTTATTGATTTTTTTTGAAGGATTTTTTTGTGTCTCTATCTCCTTCAGTTCTGCTCTGATCTTAGTTATTTCTTGTCTTCTGCTAGCTTTTGAGTTTTTTTTTTTTTTTTTTGATCTTGCTCCTCTAGCTCTTTCAATTTTGATGATAGGGTGTCGATTTTAGATCTTTCCTCTCTTCTCTGGTGGGCATTTATTGCTATAAATTTCCCTCTCGACACTGCTTTAAAAGTGTCCCAGAGATTCTGGTAAGTTGTGTCTTCTTTCGGATTGGTTTCAAAGAACATCTTTATTTCTGCCTTCATTTCATTTTTTATTCAGTCGACACTCAGAAGCAAGTTGTTCAGTTTCCAAGTGGCTGTGTGGGTTTGAGTGTGTTTCTTGATCGTGAGTTCTAGTCTGATTGCGCTGTGGTGTGAGAGACTGTTTGTTATGATTTCCGTTCTTTTGCAGTTGCTGAGGAGTGATTTGCTTCCAATGATGTGGTCAATTTTAGAGTAAGTGCCATGTGGTGCTGAGAAAAATATATATTCTGCGGATTTGGGATGGAGCATTCTGTATATGTCTATCAGGTCCTCTTGGTCCAGCTCTGCATTCAAGTCCTGGATATCCTTGTTAATTTTCTGTCTCGTTGATCTGTCTAATATTGACAGTGGAGTGTTGAAGTCTACCACTATTATTGTGTGGGAGTCTAAATCTCATTTTAGGTCATTAAGAACTTGCTTTATGTATCTGGGTGCTCCTGTGTTGGGGGCTTATATGTTTAGGATAGTTAACTCTTCCTGTTGGATTGATCCTTTTACCTTTATGTAGTGTCCTTTTTTTTTTTTTTTTTTTTTTTTTTTTTTTTTTTTTTTTTTTTTTTTTTTTTTTTTTTTTAAGAGACTAGGATTGCAACCCCTGCTTTTCTTTTGTTCTCCATTTGCTTGGTAAATCTTCTTCTATCCCTTTATTTTGAGTCTATGTGTGTCTTTGTATGTGAAATGGGTTTCCTGAATACAGCACACCAATGGATTCTGACTTTTTATCCAGTTTGCCAGTATGTGTCTTTTGATTGGGGCATTTAAGGCCATTTACATTCAGTGTTAATATTGCTGTGTGTGAATTTGATCCTGCCATTTTGTTACTGGCTGGTTTTCTTTCCCATTAGTTGACTCACTTTCTTCATTGCATTTTTGGTCTTTGCCAACTGGTTTGCTTTTGCAGTGACTGGTACTTGTTCCTTTCCGTGCTTAGTGTTTCTTTCTGGAGCTCTTGTAGGGCAGGTCTGGTGGTGACAAAATCTCTCAATAATTGCTTGTCCATAAAGGATTTTATTTCTCCTTCACTTACAAAGCTTAGTTTGGCTGGATATGAGATTTTGGTTTGAAAGTTCTTTTCTTTAAGGATGTTGAATATTGTCCCCACTCTCTTCTGGCTTGTAAGGTTTCTTCCAAGAGGTCTGCTGTGAGTCTTATTGGCTTCCCTCTGTGGGTGACCTGACCTTTCTCTCTGGCTGCCCTTAGCATTTTTTCCATCATTTCAACCCTGGTGAATCTGACGATTATGTGCCTTGGGGTTGCTCTTCTTGAGGAATATCTTTGTGGAGTTCTCTGTATTTCTTGAATTTGAAATTTGGACTGCCTTGCTAGGCTTGGGAAGTTCTCCTGGATATATCCTGGAGTGTATTTTCCAGATGGGTTTCATTCTCCCCATCATATTCGGGTATACTAATCAATGGTAGATTAGATCTTTCCACATAATCCCGTATTTCTTGGAGGCTTTATTCATTTCTTTTCCCTCTTTTTTCTCTTATCTTGCCTTCTCTTTTTATTTCATTGAGTTGATCTTCAATCTCTGATATCCTTTCTTCTGCTTGATCAATTCGGCTTTTAAAACTTGTGTTTGCTTAATTCATGTAGTTCTCATGCTGTGTTTTTCAACTCCATCAAGTCGTTTATGTTCTTCTCTAAGCTGGTTATTCTAGTTAGCATTTCATCTAACCTCTTTTCAAGGTTTTTGGTTTCTTTGCATTGAGTTAGAACGTATTCCTTTAGCTCAGAAAAGTTTATTATCCACCTTCTGAAGCCTGTTTCTGTCAATTTGTTGCACTCCTCTGTCAAGTTGTGATCCCGTGTTGAGGAGTTGTGATCCCTTGAAGGAGAAGAGGTGTTCTGCTCTTTGATGGTTTCATCTTTTTTTTGTGCTAATTTTTTCCCATCTTTGTGGATTTGCTTGGCTGTGGTGTCAGGGAGCTGCTTGATGAGGTTGCTTGTCTGCCTGTGGAGGCGCTACTGGGTTTCTAGGGACTCCGTCAGGTTACTAGGGAAGCTTCCAGTCTTTTTTTGTTTATACTGGGAAATTAGGCCGCTGACCTGTAGGTACTGCTGGGTTGTCAAGAATGCCATCCCGTTGCTATGTAGGCTCCCTGTGTTTTTTGTTAAAACATGTAGCCCAGTCCTACCCCTCTAGTGGTGGGTTGTGCTCTTCCTCCACCGGGCTGGATCATTCAGGGTTTATCTCAGACTGTGGCACTGGCTGCGCAAGCCACTAGAGTCAGAGCTTCAGCCCTCTGGGGTTTGTGGAGGAGGGTAGGGACCCGCCCAGCCGCACTCGGCTGTCTCCCCGTTTCAGCTTCCTCTCTCTCCAGTCATGGGGTACGGGTCCACCCAGCTGCTCCCGCTTACAGCTACCTCTCTCTCCGGGCAGAGGGACGGGGGGATTGCTCAGTCTGCAGGCTCTTATTCAACTCTGTGCTTGTAATTGACTGGCAAAGATCTCCTGTTCTGTGTAATGCTGAGGCTTTGGGGGAAGCACTGTATCTGGACCGCTTTGTCAGAGGGAAGCCTCTGACTCGCTGGTCAGATGCACTTTCTGGGTGAAGCAGCACCCTTCCCCTCCTCGGTCTGCCCTGAGTGGGCTTTGTTCACCATGGGACCAGAGCTGTTGAAATGCACCTGGTACCTCGGTTGGAGCTAGGAGATCTCTGGATTTCTGCATCTCTCTCACTGGGTGTTGTGCGCTGGAGTTGTGTCTAATCGGCCATCTTCGATTTCCTCTCGCCTGGCTAATTTTTTGTGTGTTTTTAGTAGAGACAGGGTTTTGCCATGTTGGTGAGGCTGGTATCGAACTCCTGACCTCAAATGATTTGCCCACCTTGGCTTCCCAAAGTGATGGGATTACAGGCACAAGCTACTGTGCCAGGCCATCAGCGCTATTCATAATGACCAAAAAGTGGAAAGCACTCAAATGTCCATCAGTTGACAAACAGATTAACAAAATGTGGAATGTCCATACAATGGAAAATATTAAGCCATGAAAAGATACATGCTACTATAGGTAAACCTCGAAAACATTATACTAAGTGCAAGAAACGAGACACAAAATGTCTTATATTGTGTGCTTTCAATATGAAATAGGCAAATCCATAGAAACATAAGGTAGATTGGTGACTGCCAGGGGATAGTAGGAGATGGAAATGGAAATGACTGGTAATGGGCATAGGGTTTCTTTTTGTATATAAATGTTCTGGAATTAGATTTATAGTTTCACATCCTGGTCATAGTTTCACAACCCTGTGAATATACTAAAAACCATTGAATTATATACTTTAAAATGAATAATTTTATGACGTGATGATATCTTAAATTGTTAATACAAAAATAAGCAAAGGTTTACAGCCTTTTTATAGGAAAACACTACACCTACTTTAGTTAAAATATATGTTGCTTTTGAATAACCATACTTTCTATTCTTTATTTAAAATGTGATTACTTGATTTTTTAATAATTAGCTGATTTTACTGTTCCAATACTCAATTTTCATCTAAAGGAAGATTTTAATAAAGGAGCATTTCTTTTCTTCTCTCTTAACAGTGTCTACTTCTGCCTCTTTGGAAGAAGCAGTAAACAGTTGGGAATTGCAGTCATTACCTGAGTATCAGTACAAAAAGCCATACTCACCCCTTGATAAGACAAGAGAATTTTCTTCATCACATAATATCAATCCGTATATTCGTGAGAATGCAAAATTTCAGAAGAAAAGTAGAAACAAAATTAAAACCTTAAGCAATTTATTTTGGGGGAATCATCCCCAAAGAAAACGCAGAGGATATTCAGAAAAGTGTTGTCTTACAGGATGTACAAGAGAAGAACTTAGTATTGCATGTCTTCCATATATTGATTTTAAAAACTTAAAGGAAGAAAGATCATCACTTGTGACTAAGATATACTAACCATCTTAGAAATTATACTAACATAATAAAAGCTTAATACATTTATCTTACTCTTTTTTTATTTTTATTTTTTTTGTAATTGTGGTTGTAAGTGATATACTGTGAACAGTGTCTGAATATATTTGCAAGCACTTGACCATACCTTATAGTAGTAATAAGAATCTTAGTGTTTTCTTTGGTGACCCTGTTGTTTTCCTTAGTTTTCACAACCTTTTTGAAGGCGATATTTCTGGAGGTGGTGTGATCCATGCAGACATCTAAGAGTTATCCGTTCACTTCTTGTCATTATGGTTGAAACTCTCTTAAGCTACATTTAGTGAATTATGGAACCTTCTGCTTTCCATCTGCATGACACACAAACTGATGCCCATGACTGTTAGGCTTACTCCAAAAGGCCAACCTATCTGTCCCACCAACTTAAAAATAACTAATCAACTACTATTCCTAGTAGAAGCCCTTATACTATAGTAGTAGTTACACTTCTTTTTTTTGTTTGTTTGTTTTTAAGAAAGAGAGGAAGAAAGAGAAAGAATAGAAAAAGAAAGAAAGAGAAAATGAAGGAGAAGAAGAATGAGGAAGAGGGAGAGGGAGAGAGAACTGGGGTGTTGCTTTATTGCCCGGGCTAGAATGCAGTCTAAAAATGGGTATGCCTGTAATTGTGTTTAGTAATAGAGACATGGAAAAAAAAATGAGGGAAGAAAATAACTAACAAGCAGCCAACCAATATTTCATTTAAACCTGTAAAGAGGTGTGATGTGGTACTGATAAGAGTGTATATTTTGTATATTTAAAATGGAGAGTTCTATAAATGTTAATTAAGTCTACTTGTTCCCAATCTGAGTTCAAGTCCTAGATATCGATGTTAACTTTCTGTCTCATTGATCTGTCTGATATTGATGTTGAAGTCTCCCGCTATTATTGTGTGGGAGTCTAAGTCTCTTTATAAGTCTTATATATCTGGGTATTCCTGTATTGGGTGCGTATATATTTAGGATCTTTAGCTCTTCTTGTTACATTGATCCTTTTATCATTATGTAATATCCTTCTTTGCTTCTTTTGATCTTTGTTGCTTAAAAGTCTATTTTATCAGCGAAAATTGCAACTCCTGCTTTCTATTTATTTATTATTTTTGCTCTCCATTTGGTTGGTAAATTTTTCTCCATCCCTTTGTTTTGAGTCTTTGTGTATCCTTGCATGTGAGATGGGTCTGGATGTAGCATACTGATGGGTCTTAGAAGTCTAGTTATGCTTCTAATTCCTTGAATTTTATTAGTTTCTCTTCACAATTTCTACTGAGGACTTAAAATAGAATTTAGTGAATCTAAACTAAAATCTCTGCAAGATACCCTGTCTTTGCTCTGAAGGTACTGATATAATGTGAGTCAACATATAATTCTCAATATTTGATTGAGAAATCTGTAGAAAAGATTCTTAAAGCATAGTCCCTGACCAAACCAGCAGCATCAGCATCATGTGAGAACTTGTTAGAAATGCAGTCCTAAGGTCTCACACCAGACCTACTGAATCAGAAACTCTAGGTATGGGAGCCAACAATCTGTGTTTATAAGCCTTCTAGGTTATTCTGAAGTAGGTTAAAGATCAAGAACCACTGGTAATAGAGTTACTGTATGAATATTGTTGAAGTTTTTCTATTCAAGTGGTGCATATCTCAACTCAATGTAGATGTTACAGTACTAAATTTTTGGTGTTTTTTTCCCTGTCAACACATGAAATAATTTTAGTACTATGAATTAGAGCAAGACGTAACCCAGTGAACCCAAAATGGAATTTCTACTTTGTACCCATAAATTTGTGGCTAAGTAGCACTTGAGATCTTTCTCTAGTTTCTTTCCCAAACATGTGCTGTAATGTTCTTTTTAATTGTTTATTTCTATTTGGCTTCATTACTTCTTACAACAAAGGTTCTTTTCCACTTATGTCTATGTCATATATACTTTCAGTGCATTAATAAATATTGTTGATTTTTTAAATCAGTTTCAGGGTACAGTCTGTGATTATCTGTCAATATAGGGAGCTACCCATGTAGATACAAAATGACAGCTTATATTATGGTTCAGTAGTGGAGTAGGTCTGCTAAGCATTAGATGAAAATGCTCCATTTATTGAGAATTATCTATGCTTTGGCTAAAATACAGCCATGTACACAATCCAGTTTGAAATGGTATACATCTGTACTTGTGGTAGAAGAATAAAGTGCAGCTTGTTAGCTTACTTATTATAAACACACATCAGAAGTCCCATATAGAAAATCATGATATTAACCAAGTGTGTTACTTGCATAGCTGTATACTTCCCTACCCACTTTTTAATAATTTGTATGTTAGGTTGTATTTAGTTTGCTTTTTGGTTTAAGTCTGCCTTCTAATATTTAAAATTGCACTAACGATGTGGTACATTTTGATAGAACACTCACATTTATTTTATAGATTCCTTAAAGGAAACCCAAATTGGAAAAAATAAAAAAAAAAAGAAATCTGAGATACCTTAATATTAAGCAACTTACTGAGGCTCCATGTTAAGTTACTTGCTAGTTAGTGGTAGAACTGGATCAAGATTTTAATACTAACATCTTGTTCAGTACTACTGATGTCAATAAAATCATAAGTAGAAATTGCCCTTTTTTTTTGAGACAGGGTCTGTTGCCCAGGCTGGAGTACAGTAATGTGATCACAGCTCACTACTGCCTCAGCCTCCTGGGCTCAAGTGATTCTTCCATCTCAGACTCCTGAGTAGCTGGGACTACAGGTGCATGCCACTATACCTGGATAATTTTAAATATTTTTTTGTGGAGACATAGTCTTGCTATGTTGCTCAGGCTGGTCTCTGGGGTCCTGGCCCCAAGTAATCCTCCTGCCTTGGCCTCCCAAAGTGCTGGGATTATCTTCATAATTTCTTGTCCGGATTGTTTGCTGTTGGCACATAGAAATGGTTTTTGTCTATTGATTTTGTATCCTCCAACTTTACTGAATGTGTTTATGAGTTCTAATAGTGGTTTTTTTTTTTTTTTTGGAGTCTTTAAACATTTTTCCAAATACAGTATCACCTGTAAATAAGGATAGTTTTACTTCTTCCTTTCCAATTTGGATGTCCTTTGTTTCTTTCTCTTAGCTGAGTGCTCTAGCTTGGACTTCTAGTACTATGTTCAGTAAAAGTTGTGAAAGTAGACAACCTTGTCAGGTTCCAGATAATAAAGGAAAGGTTTTCAGTTTTTCCCTATTCCTTATTCTGCATCCCTATTGAGTATATCTTTATTCAGTATGATACTAGCTCTGGGTCTGTCATATATGACTTTCATTATGTTGAGTTATGTTCCTTCTATACTCAATTTTTTTAGGGTTTTTAGCATGAGATGTTTTTATTTTTATCAAATGCTTTTTGAGCATCATTTGAAATTATCATATGGTTTTTGTCCATCATTCTGTTGCTGTATCACAATGATTGATTTGCAAATGTTGAACCATTCTTGTATTCCTGGGATAAATACTCCTTGGTTATGATGATTTTTTAAATGTGTTGTTGCGTTTGGCTTACTAGTATTTTGTTGAGGTTTTTTGCATTCGTGTTCATCAGAGATACTGGCTTGTAGTTTTCATTTTTTGATGTGCCTTTATTTGGTTTTGGTATCAGAGTAATATTGGTCTCATAGAATGAGTTTGGAAGTATTCTATGTCTACTTTTTGGATTAGTTTGAGGAGAATTGGATTAGTTTTTCTTTAAATGTTAAAATCAGCAGAGAAACCATTGGTCCCTGAGCCTTTCTTTGAAGAGTTTTTATTATAGCTTCGATGATATTACATGTTACTGGTCTATTCACAAGTTTTGGATTTCTTCGTGTCTTAATCTTGGTAAGCTGTATGTGTATAGGAATGTATCCATTTCTTGTAGGTCTCCCAATTTATTGGCATATAGTTGCTTATTGTAGCCTCTGATGATCCTTTGAATTTCTTTTTTCTAAGTTAGTCTTGCTAAAGGTTTGTCAGATTTTTTTGGCTTTTAAAAGCCAACTTGTTTCATTGATCTTTTGTTTCTTTTCAATTCCATTTATGTATGCTATGGTGTTTCTTTTTTTCTATTAACTTTGGGTTTGGCTTGCTCTTGCCTTTCTAGTTTTTTAAGATATATCATTAAGTTGTTCATTTAAAGTTTTCCTTTTTTGATGTAGGTACTTCACTTTTAGCTATATTGCTTTTGTTATTGCTTTCTAGTTTTATTTCATTGTGGTCAGAGAAGACATATTATTTAAATTTTTTTGGAATGTTTTAAGATTTGT